TAAGTTCCAATGGTATTATTATTTACCTGTCTCTTCCCTGAGTCTTTCCAAAAGGACATCATCATGTCCCTAAATCTGTAATCCATCGTGAATTTCCTGTCTCACATAACCATAGTACCTTCATGGTCTAATTAATTGCCTTCACCATGTGCTAGTTGCCTTTCGTTCCCCATCTCTTTGGTCATCAAGTTCCTTTCCGTTTACCCCCGAAACACCACATATGTTTAACCCTGCCTTCAGGAATTTAGGATTAGCTGGGATTGTCCTATTACATCTTGTTTGTATCACTCCTTACCCTTACTACAGTCTCATGGCACATTTGGCCCAGTAATCCATTACTGGATGTCTCCAACGCTTAATGAAACCAAGGCCATATTTGGTTTTGTTCACTATTTTGTCTGATTAAATACTACATTGTCTGGCAGACAGTAGACATTTTGTGAATGTTTGCCAAATGAACGTGTGAATATTCTCACCTCTTCATTGTCTGATATCTCTCTAGCTCGGTGTTTCAAAAGCATGCCGCATGTGTATAATGATTTTAATTGGTGCACAGAGAATCCCATAGGGGCAGCAGAAACCACACACCTTTTAGATGCCCCTCCTCAAGTAGAGACAGACAGAATCCAGGAATTGGGTTGTGTTTATGTTTCACAGTTATATTTATGGCAAGAAATGCTAGTTTTCCATTTATGGCCCTTTTACAATAAATTAATTCAAGCTTTAAAAAAGGGAGTTAGTATCAAGATAAATAGGAAATGACTCATGGTATGGAAATATGGGGATATGGCAGAATTGGGAAGGTAGTAAATGAATCACTGCAGTTTGGGAAATAGTGACCTCATTTATGCTCACACTATGTGTTTTAATAAATAAATGATAGTTGCCCATGCAAATAAGATAGTGTTCCTAATCTGAAGTGATTTTTATAAGGTAAGGCAAGGCCCACACTTTCTCATCCGTTCATGTCCACCACACAGTTAAAAGCATGTGTCGTTTCCTTGCTCTGTGTCAGAATTGTGCTTGATTCCAGCAACACAAGCATGAACAAGGGTCCTGGGGACGGTGTGTGTTTGCACATGCATGATAGTGCAAGGACAGATAACTGGTAACAGCCATATAAACCAGAAATAGTGACACAAGCGTGTTATAGAGGCATAGTCCTGAGGACACAAACAATTCTCTCTCAAGGACTGGCAGAAATCATCTCTATGTGATGTTTAAGATGTATGTTTGCCAGGCTCAGAAAGAAGGGAAGAGTGTTCTGGACCAAGGTTTCTCAACCACTGTTGACATTTTTGACTGGGTAATTATTGTCATGGGGACCTGTCTTGTGTGTCATAGGATAACCAGCATCTCTGGTCTCTACCTATTAGGTGTCACTAATAGGTAGTAGCACTCCCTAGTTGTAGCAACTAAAAATGTTCTCTGGTGGGGAAAAATCACACCAGATGAGATTCACTAGTCTAAATAGATAGAAATGCCAAATTCAGTGGCATGGATCACAACAGGACATTTGAAGATAAATACAAAAAGCCCAAGATAATGGGGTAAAATGCCTGAGATGGGATAGTTTTGGTAAGAGACGAGGTACAGAGAGGAAAGGATTGACAGTGAGCAGATGATTTGATATTTTATCCCATCCAGAACATCAAGTGAGGAAACGTTTTTAAGCAAGATCCCCTTGATCAGATGTGGGACTAGGAGGCTGGGAAGTCAGATTCTTATGGAATCTAAATGTCAGTCAGAACCAGATGCCCAATGACTAAATTAGGCAAGAAGCTTTAAATAGTTTGGCTGTCTAAAACATAGGCAGTCAAAACTTCCTTAATAAACGTAAAAGTATTTTACCTATTAGGTATTAGAAAACATAGATTATATTATTTACCAAGTGGGTACTATTGTTTTTACTTGAGACATTGTATTTACGAATTAATAATATTTTCTGTAACTTGAAGATTTCACGACCAGCTTGATCCAATAGGTCATTTCATGCATTAGCTAGTGATCCAAATATTTAAGCTCAATGGAAAGTTGTATGTATTATGATTTATATATATATATATATTGCTAGTGGTCTTGTGCACTCGCCGGGTGGGGGGAACACCCCTTTATGGGGAATCCCTTCTCCCTCTTTCAGGATTCTGGGTATGCATGCACATACGTCCCACATGTTCCTCAATCTGCTGGATCCAGAACTCAAACCACATGATCAGCCAATCAGCCATGTGGTATCTGGCTGCCTTAACCACCAGGCCACAGAGCTGGCCCATTTATATCATTTTAAAGATTTTTGTAGAATGGACATGAGGAAAGAACTGTGTCTCCATATAATACCCATGTGATTTTTTTTATCTATTAAAAATAAATTCTATTTTTTTCTCGCTCCCTTTTTTTTTCTTTTTAGAATTATCATCTGTTGTTGCAAATAGTAGTTTGACAAATAGAGCATTTCAAAAGTCCTAACAAATTTTTATTTACATAATTTTTAGCTGGGAGGCTAAACTGAAAATCCTTTTAAAATTTTGTCACTAACTCTGAGTGCATTAAGCTTGAAGTGACACTCTTTTTGATGGGGAAAAGAAGTCACTGAGAAATATTGTAGCCTCCTTCAGTAATACAGTGAGGTGTTATAGGTTAAGAAAATTTAAAATTGCTCAACTTGCACCATTGCTGTTGGAGTTTTTTGGGGTTTTTTTTTCCCCCTCATTCAAAAAGTGTGACATTTCTCTTTTGGGAAGATAAAAAAAAATAACTAAAATGAAAAAATGCTAGAGATTGGCATTTGGATGGACAGAGACTTAAAAATCTAACATGCAAGCCTGTCTTTTCCTCAGCCTCTTTCTTTTCTTTGCCCCTCCCTCTAACAACCAAATCAAAAGCTACAATTTGTTTCTGTTCTATCCAAGTTTCAATAACCCCTTAAGAATAGCCATTCATAAGATTAGCTATTTTTAGAGTCAGGGTTAACCACACTTCCCTATGACAATTTATTTTTATAGTGAAGAAGTAAGTTTTGTTCAGAATGTTTTAACATTTGTGAAAATATATATTTTGCTAGTGGTCTTGTGCACTTGCCGGGTGGGGGGAACACCCCTTTATGGAGAATCCCTTCTCCCTCTTTCAGGATTCTGGGTATGCATGCACATACGTCCCACATGTTCCTCAATCTGCTGGATCCAGAACTCAAAGCACATGATCAGCCAATCAGCCATGTGGTATCTGGCTGCCTTAACCACCAGGCCACAGAGCTGGCCCATTTATATCATTTTAAAGATTTTTGTAGAATGGACATGAGGAAAGAACTGTGTCTCCATATAATACCCATGTGATTTTTTTTATCTATTAAAAATAAATTCTATTTTTTTCTCGCTCCCTTTTTTTTTCTTTTTAGAATTATCATCTGTTGTTGCAAATAGTAGTTTGACAAATAGAGCATTTCAAAAGTCCTAACAAATTTTTATTTTCATAATTTTTAGCTGGGAGGCTAAACTGAAAATCCTTTTAAAATTTTGTCACTAACTCTGAGTGCATTAAGCTTGAAGTGACACTCTTTTTGATGGGGAAAAGAAGTCACTGAGAAATATTGTAGCCTCCTTCAGTAATACAGTGAGGTGTTATAGGTTAAGAAAATTTAAAATTGCTCAACTTGCACCATTGCTGTTGGAGTTTTTTTGGGTTTTTTTTTTTTCCCCCTCATTCAAAAAGTGTGACATTTCTCTTTTGGGAAGATAAAAAAAAATAACTAAAATGAAAAAATGCTAGAGATTGGCATTTGGATGGACAGAGACTTAAAAATCTAACATGCAAGCCTGTCTTTTCCTCAGCCTCTTTCTTTTCTTTGCCCCTCCCTCTAACAACCAAATCAAAAGCTACAATTTGTTTCTGTTCTATCCAAGTTTCAATAACCCCTTAAGAATAGCCATTCATAAGATTAGCTATTTTTAGAGTCAGGGTTAACCACACTTCCCTATGACAATTTATTTTTATAGTGAAGAAGTAAGTTTTGTTCAGAATGTTTTAACATTTGTGAAAATGATCTATTTTTTTTTTGTAGTGACAAATTCCACAGAGATTTCAAGTGATTTTAGATACTGTTTTTGGTTAGATTTTCATAATGTAAAAATCTTATTGGCTAGTGCTATAGATTTCTCAGCCATTTCAAGATTTTCTCTTAGATACAATATGGTTGAATTGGCTCCCCTTTAAAACAGTCAGTCTGGAGTTTGAAAGTAGTGGATGCCTAACTTTCTACATGTAAATGTATCTATATCCGTATCAGTTACAGGTCTATGCTCAAAACAGTAGATGCAATGAGTGTTATTCCCAAGTACCAATAGTGGAATATGCAGTTATTAAATACGTTCTATGTTCCAGGAATAAGTATATACCTGTAAACCTTTTAATTAGGTATTGACTTAAAAAAATGTATGCCTCATGTATATAGTTTTATAATAGTATGTGCTAATGAAAACTAGAGGAAAGTACTATATCAACCCTGTTATACTAAACAGAGTATATACAGAATATATAAACATAAAGCACATATGCTTTGTAAATTTTATATATGTGTGTATATATATATATATATATTGTTCTTTTCTTCTCTTGAGATTCTCAACTGTCTTTAATATCATAAAATGTAGAAACTAACATTTGAGAAAGTAAATGCAAACCAAAGTTCTTGAATGCTTGATCACAATCTTGTGAAGGGAAGAAAGGGAACTGTTGAAACCCAGATGGAGGTTTCACTTAGCTGTGAATTTCACACATCTGCATTGCATTCCTTTTTTCGAGGAGTAGGTGAAGAGACACAGTTAAATCTCTCTAGACAAGGACCAGACCTGTGCCTCATAAGTTAAAGTAAACTCCACTTGGGAAATTTTAAGAGTGTTAATCAGAATGAAAGATCTGTGCTGTGTGTAATAAAGAGCCATTTACAGAACAACTGTCTTCTTGAAGAATTAGTTTCATTTATGTTATTTTTAATATCTTTTTAGAAAGTGCAACAATACACGTTAATAATTCAAGCTACAGACATGGAAGGCAATCCTACCTACGGCCTTTCAAACACTGCCACGGCCGTCATCACAGTGACAGATGTCAATGACAATCCTCCAGAGTTTACTGCCATGACGGTAAGTACAGCCTGTCACTCCCAGAACTATAGGTCTGTAGTCCATTACTGAGAACTTTTGTCATGAATAATAAATGTGTTAAATACATGAGATACTAGCTTAAACTGATAGTAGAGTGGTTACTGACTCAGTCATTTCTGTCTCCAGGACTTTTACTAAGGCATCCAAATAATTAATTTCCTCGAAGTCTCCAAGTCCACTGTTCGAGTTGTTAAAATATATGCTGAAAGAAAAAAATGCACTAGAAGGACTTTTTGCTGTTAATACAAAATACTTATAAATATTTTCAGGTGCATGAACTCCATGACTGATTTATGCCGCTTCGTCAGAATGTAATTATCTGTGTCTCGAGTAAAATCATTTCCCACAGACAAGTCCTTTCTCCCGACCCTACATTAATCACCCAGATACTCACAAATGGATGCTAATTTTAATATTAATGAAATCATAACATAATTTGAGAAAAAATGGGCTATTGAATAATGTTATAGTATTTTTAAAGTCAAACATAAATGCTGTGATTATTGCATTACTGACCTCTTCATTTAGCATAGGTTATAAGAATTTAATAGGGCAGTAAAATTAGGGCCACGTGTGGTCATCAAGCAAGTTGTCCTTCAGTGGTCCACACTGCGCCCCTGACCCAGGTTTGTCTTTCTTGTAGTTCTATGGAGAAGTTCCTGAGAACAGGGTAGATGTCATAGTAGCTAATCTAACTGTGACTGATAAGGACCAGCCCCATACACCAGCCTGGAATGCAGTGTACAGAATCAGCGGTGGAGATCCTACAGGACGCTTTGCCATTCAGACAGACCCAAACAGCAACGACGGGTTAGTCACCGTGGTAAAAGTAAGTGTTTCCTGGACCGTGTGTCTCTCTGGCAGCCATTCGGCAATTACCAACATATGCCTTCACCCCACTGTGTGCCATTTAATATTAGGACTTTTTTTTTTATTTCACTCATAAATTGAGGCTTCACAATTATTTCCGGGGTGGGGGGTGTTCTTGTCCCCGTGCCCAACATAGATATTTTCACATCACTAATGTTGTTTTTAAATCACTGTTCAATCATCATTGTTTTTGGGCTGACTCCATAGCCTAGTGGTTAAGGAATCCAGATCTCATAGACAACTGTAGTTCAAATCCTGGCGCCAGTGGCTTAAAAAAATGCTGAGCATGCACACATGTCCCAAATAAAACAACCTAATGGAGAAAAGGAGAAGGGAATGTGGTATGACCATATTCCATTGGGTGGCTTTTCCCCTGTCTCTCTCCCTCTGTGTCTCTCTGACAAGTAGCCACATCCCCTAGCAATAAATAAATGAGTCACTTTAAACTGTTCGACCAGTCTAGACACAGGCATGTCTTCATAAATACTGTCCATGTAGTTGATATGTTAGTAATGTACACCTTCTGAAGTTTTGCTCACCATTTAGTTAATGGCAATTAAGAATGATGCATCACACCTACTGTGTCATGAGGGTTGGGTAGGTAGTGCATGAACCAGAAAATATCACAGAAGTAAAATGGAACGAGTAGTTGAGAAGAAAGCCTGAGTTTTTTTTTTAAAGACTCTGTATTTGCATTGCCATTTAAAAATGTTATTTTCAATATTTTTAGGAAACTGATTTTTCTGATTTTAAATTGTCAAAAAAGAACCCAATACCAGGTGCGTGTGCTTGCGTGCCCAAGATACCAAGAGGAGAATGGAGGAGAAGGGATTGCGGCATGGCCATCCCCCTGGGTTTTGTGTGTGTGTGTGTGTGTGTGTGTGTGTGTGTGTGTGTGTGCGATTTCTCTCTCTCTATCTCTCTGCTTCTCTCTGTCTTTCTGGCGAGCGCATGAGCCCTATGTAAAAACCTCTCAAAAAAAAAAATAATAAATAAAAAAGAACCCAACAAAACAATTGAGTGCTAGAAGCAAAAGGGATGTCCCTCAGTATAATAAATGCACAGTTGTAACATAAAAGCTCTTTCAAGGGAACCACTCAGTGAAGGGTGAAAAGATTTTCTTCTTTACCTACCACCAAAGCACTCTAGATTTATAAGTGAACCCAAAGGTGCACTAAGGTGCCAGTTACCAAAGGTGTTGTATGTCCATGAGCCTAATGATAGTTACTCCCATGGGACACAGGTTGGAAATGCTGAACAAATATAGCAAGTATGCCAGCCCCAGAGCCTGGTGTCTGTGTTTGACTCCCAGCTCTGTCCTCAATACCTGTGTGACCGAGAACAGTTATTTTACCTCTGTGAGCTTCAAGTTCTTCCTGCAGCGTGTGGAGCTGATAATAATACCCAAGTCATAGTGTTGTGCTGGTTAACAAGCTCCACCCACATTAAGGTACTTAGAACTGTGCATATGCACTCAGCATAAATGTCAGGGGCTAATGAAACCACTTGAAATACTACAGTCTTCCTTTCTGGATTCTTTCCTGTCTTTTAAATGTACTTAAGAAAGGGCAATTGAATTGTAAATTTAAGAGGGAGAGAAAAAACTGTGTGTTTGAAGGTTTGAGAAGATTGTCCAGGTTAAAAAACTGGTGCCATTTATTGGTGCTAATGACTTTCTTGTGAGCTTCAGCTCTAGATCCTTCGTAGGCTACCAACAACAGCATGAGAGTTGTTGGTGCCATTTGTCCTTATTTTTATCAGAATAATGCTTTTTTACACCTCCTGTAGAAGGTCATCAGGAAGATTAAGAATGAATGTCCAGCCTGGTCACTTGACTGCTGGTGACATTTCTAGCGAAGACAGGATTCAATAGAACTTTGAAAGTTAATATTTACATGAAGGCTTCTTTGTGCATTGTATCAGAGTGTCATTCTTAGATTTTGGGGTTTTGCAAACCACAATTTTAAGTTTACTAAAAACAGAGAGAAATACGTACGGCATCTGGCAAAATTTGTAGTGTACTGGACTGAAGTGCTGGAAGCCACATGCTGACCACAGGGTCAGATCCCTGGATCAGCTTGAAAATGCACCAAGCATATTTATGTGGACACCAAAGAACCCAAGGACCTGGAGAGCTGGGAAAGGGGATCCCAGCCTAATAAGATATACATATCAAGAGTATGTCTGTTCATCTCTTCCTCTCTTTTACTTGTGTGTGCATGTGTGCACCTATACAGGCTCTCTGTCATACCAAAAAATAAAAAGGAAAAAGAAAAACACCTTTCAACTAACACACTATTATTTTTTAAAGTTAGGTGTATGTGTGTTTGAGTATATATGTTCATACTTCAAAATGTATACATCAAATTACTTTTAAATTGAATTCATTCAGAGCTATTAAAAAATGACATTGTCTGTTTTTTGTTTTGTTTTTCATTTCATTACAGGTGATAAAAGCTTTATTGGATAAAGAATGGTCTTTTTACCAGTGTTTGGGAGTACAGACTAAGACCATCATGTTCTCACTTGACCTCATATTAATTAATCATTTTGGTCAATAATGCTATTTTTAAGAATAATCAAGTGTTTAAATGAACCTAAATAAATGTATCCATGCAGTCATCATATGTATTATTTTGTGAACATAAATCTTCAAAATTTATAAATAGGTTAAATTTGGATAAATATTTCAATCATTGACCATACTTAATATATATTTTCCAGAAATTCAAAAGGAACCTTATGATATAATGAATGAAAAAAAAAATGATGTTTTGGAAATAGAGCTGATGGAAGAATAAGCTGAAGCATGCAAATATTATCTTCCTACAAAATGATGTTTTCTTCCTTTTTTTCCCCAGCCAATCGACTTTGAAACAAATAGGATGTTTGTCCTTACTGTCGCTGCAGAAAATCAAGTGCCATTAGCCAAGGGAATTCAGCACCCACCTCAGTCAACTGCCACTGTGTCTGTTACAGTTATTGATGTGAATGAAAACCCTTATTTTGCCCCAAATCCCAAGATAATTCGCCAGGAAGAAGGCCTTCATGCTGGTACTATGTTGACAACATTTACTGCTCAGGACCCAGATCGATATATGCAGCAAAATATTAGGTATAAAGTGCCAGTAAAGTCCATTGATATGCGTTATGTCCCATATTGTGCATAAAATGCATTTAATTTACCATTTGAGTAAGAAATTTTATTGGAACCAAAACTTACTAGATGATCATTTTAAATTCTTTGAAGACTTTTCCTCTCAGTAAATCAGTGACTATTTTAGATAGGAAATATTGAAATGAATCTACTGAAGTTTTATTGAGTCGTTGGAAAAGTCATGATGCATTTTTGCATAGAAAAGTTTATCATGACTTTCCCAATAACCTTATATTTAAGAAAAAAATTCTCTTTGTTCTGCCTCCTTTCCTAATTAAAAAAAAAAATTAATTTCTAGCTACCAAACATCTCAAAAATGTTCTACAGGGGCCAGCAGATAGCATGATGGTTAAGGCACTGGATTTCACATGGCCAACCGCACAGTTTGTGTGCTGGACCCAGTGTCTTGACGTGTGTTCATGCCCCAAATCCCAAGAGGAGAATGGAGGAGAAGGAATTGCAGTGTAGCTATCACCCTGGGGGATGGTTTCTCTCTTTCCTTCTCTATCTCTCTTTGTCTCTCCAGTGTATACACCCTATAGCAAAAAAACAAAAAAAAAAACAAAACAAAAAAATTCTACAGTGAGTCAGTAGAAAACTTTTGGGAGCTTATACCATTTATATCTCTTCCATATATCATGAAGACAAGAAAATGCATGCCAAATACAAAATCTAAGAGCTAATTATTTTCATCCCTACATGTACAAGTAGTTATTGGACTTAGAAAACATATCTGTAAAGATTTCCAACTTCAGCAAAATCTAATTTATCCCTCCTGATGAAGGAGTGGATGGCTGGCAGAACATACCCCACAGGACTGTTATTTACAGCTGGTGAGGATAATTTTATTATATTAGGCCATATTTTATTTAACTTCTTTCTCAACAATTGCAAACAAATAATTGCATATATTCTCCATTTCTCTACACACTGAAGTAAAAATATTTAAAAAAACAATTAATAGGTATATTAAAACCCTACAACTTTTTTACCTCTCAAAACATAACCTATTCTTTTTCTAATCTCTATATTGGTTATCCAGGCTTAGAAAGTTTATTCCAATGTGGGAGATCCCAGTGGGAATGGGATTCAGGCATCTCTGCAGTGTGACTTGATTTTCATCATGCTAAAATGGTACAATGGTTTAGCAGTGTTCTGTGATATAAAATTCAACCCATATTATAATTTCTCTGAAGTCCTGTACAGTAGGAGTACTGCTTATTTAGAAGGTATATTTAAGATATTTTATCTGCCCTATTGATAACTGCTGTAGTAGACATGTCTAAAATAAGATAAGCCCTATTTGCCTTTGCCTGCAATAGGGACTGTGCTCCTAGCCTTGCCCTTTCAAACACCTGTAAAATATTTTCTGCATATGTGACTGGACACAAGCTTTATGTAGTTCCCAAATCACTACCATAGAAGGGACCAGCAGATGGCAGAATGGTTACGTCGCTGGACTCCCACATAGCTGACTGTGGTTCGAGTCATGGACCTGGAGGCTTGAAATTCACGCTGGGCACATGTGCATGCATGCCCAAAATCTCAAGAGGAGAATGGAGGAGAAGGGACTGCAGCGTGGGCCATCCCCCCAGGGAATGATTTCTCGCTTTCTGTTTCTCTCTGTCTGGTGACCACATGCGCCCTATAGCAAAAATGTCTCAAAAAAAAAAAATTTACTGCCATAGAAATCATTTTCAGACCAGTCAGGTTGCTTGGTGGTTAAGTCGGTTAGATCCCACATGGCCAACTGTACACTTTAAGTCACAAACCTGGTGGCTTGAAAAACACACCAGATGTGTGTGCATATGTACCCAAAATTGCAAGAAGAGAATAGAGAAGAAGGGACTGTATTGTGTCACCCTGCTATCCCCTAGACCCCCTAGAGTGGAGGGGGGTGGTGCTTTCTTACTTTCTCTCTCTCTGAATGATAGCCAAGAAAAAAAGAAAAAGAAAAAGAAAGTTTTCTATGTTAAAGCTGTATTTCCAACTATCATCTACAAAAATATAAATGAATAAGTAAGTTACACTTAAAATTCAGTCTGTAAAATATGCGCTACTTTTAAAACTTCACATCCAAACAATTTAACTTACTGAATTTTTATTTTGTAGATACACAAAATTATCGGATCCTGCCAATTGGCTGAAAATAGATCCTGTGAACGGGCAAATAACTACAATTGCTGTTTTGGATAGAGAATCACCGAATGTGAAAAACAATATATATAATGCTACTTTCCTTGCTTCTGACAATGGTATGTAATTAAACATATTTCCTGTATTCTCCAGAAATTGAGATTTTCTTTTATTACAAAAGGCTTCACCGTTTCCAACGGGTTATCCGTGACATATGTCCCTGTGTTGCGCATGTTCCTGTATCTTCCATAGTAGCTTTGCATGGTGATCACAAACCTTAGTTTTATTTCCTTGCCCAAGGTGGATGTCTGCCAACCTCAGTGACCTGGGACACTGTCTTTGAGTTGGTCTTCTTATATTTCTTCTAGGAAGCTATTTGCTGCCTTGAGTGTATATATACATCCCTAGCAATCTTCCTTTTTCTAATCCTCTGCCCTTGTCTAGGAAACTCTTAATTTTTTGTATAAATTGAGATAAATGAGCACTGAGCTTTAGGGTGTTGGTTTTGGAACACATATTTTGGCACTTTTTTTTTGTCTGCTTGGCTCGATTTGGTTGAAATGAACAGATAAGACTTTATATTTTAGGTACTTAAGATAAAAATGAGTTATTTAAACTGGGCTATGGACTTACTTTACTTTGTTAGCTCAATATGTTATGTGTTTAAGAGCACAAGCTCTGGTTTCAACTGGCTGTCTGGGTCCAGACTCCATTTCTAGCACATCCTATGATTAACAAGAAGGTTTTAAATCTATTGATTTCTTGGGGACCAGCAGTTGGCAAAATGGCTATGTTGCTGGCTCCATGTAGTTAGTTTGAGTCTCAGACCCGGTGGCTTAAAA